TTAATTTTCAAACAAGATATGAGTATGTGAAATATCAAAAATTAAAAATGCTCATATCTCGCTTGAAAATTAAAATATCGAATAAAAGCCAACGCTTAAGCACAGATAATGTTATTATCTAAAATAATCTTAATTAACTACTGACAGATAGACTATACATTTTAAATGTAAATACTTAATATTTATTAAAAGAATTAATATTTGCTTCAGGACGAAATACTGATTATTTCTAGATAAATATTTATCATTATTCATTAACTACTTTAGTCATAACTGATTATTTATATTGTATTATAATATTATCATGTTTGTTGTTAATTTAACTTGTAGTTTTTGTATTCTTTAAAATTATTTTAACATTTTTTTTTTAAATACCATCGTTAAACTTAAAATATTGGGAGTTGTTGTAACAGAAATGTTAGAGCCTAGATTTCATTATTTGTTGTAACTATTTTGCAACGTACCACGACGATTCGTTATCGTGCACTATTAAAATAAAAAAGGTGCTCTACTGTACAGTAGGTTACAAGTGGGTCTCTGTTTAATGGATGACATTAAATTTGAATTCAATGATATAATATCATTGTATGAGAAAAACGATTCTGATCGGAGACGGTATGTCAGTCTAGGTTTAAGACAAATTATATACACATCAATTGTAATAAAAAAAAAATATGCACAGTCTTATCATAGACCATACTTCTTATTCATTATACTATGGTAGATTGTATAGATAGGCCATAATATTTTTATTTTTTAGTTTCATATATCCCCGAATAATATTTTTAAATTACAACAAAAAACTAAAATCGTTAATATTGATTTTAATATGTAATTTCGTCCAAATTTGAACTTAAAATGACTATAAAAATAAACTGGGATTGTGTATTTTTTAGTTTTTTTGGTAACAGAATCAACTACTTACGTGGAATCTTGTTTTAAATTTTTAATCCTTAGATATAAAAGTTGAACTTTTTATGCATTTTTAACTACAAAATAATTATTCAATTTTAAATTTGATAAATTTTGACCAAATTCGATCTTTAAATGCTTATAAAAAAAAATTGTGCCTATGTATTTTTAATATTTTTCAACTGTTATTGTAACAATATATCAGGAGCCTTGTCTTAAATTTTTACACTTTTTGAATCAACAGATAAAACTTTATTGATATTTATAGAAAAAAAAAAAACTAAAAAAATTGAAAACTTAAAATGTCCGTAAACAGCTCAAAAAGAGTCAAAATATTTTCAAAATTGTACAGTGTATAGGAAATGCTAATATAAACATTCAGTGAAATTTTCATGTATCTGCAGTTATTCGTTTTTGAATTACAAAAAAATAATGAGAATTACAAGAGAAATCGAGTGAATATCCAATGTTGTAAAAATTTAAATTTCAAACGCTCATAAAAATTGTATTTGACTTTCCGGTAGAGATTTTTTGTATTGATAAAGGTAGACAAACTTATGAGTAATCTTGTATTACATTTTCAAATCTTAGATTTAAAAAGAAAGATGTTTACGAATTCTTAGCTCAAAATAATTTGCTAATTTTCGTGATTTTTTTTCATTTTAAAAATGTAGTAGGAGCCTTGTATTCAGCTTTCATGCTTTTTTACCCGACTACTATTTTTTCGACTACTTATCGTGTACGAAGACACAAAAAAAAATTTTAAAAAATTTAAAAAATTAAAAAATTAAAAAAAAACACATCATTGTAAAATCAATACATTCATCTTTCCACTCAGAATCTAAAATAAACAGAAACAACCAATCCAAGATACGTAGGTTTTCCGGTTTTCGTATTGCCTCGGTGATTAATAATAATAATTATAATAATAATAATAATAATACGACATCGTCGTCAGTACCTATGTAGTTACTCAATAATGGCTGGTTTCCGTTACGACCGTTAAGTTTTTTGTCAGCTACGACAAGCGATGAATACATTTTGTTTCTTCGTACACGACACACGTGTGTAATAATATTATTAAGTCCAGTGTTTTGACATTTTTGTGGTAGCGGTAAACACGAAACGTCGTCTCTACTCCTTATATATTATTTTATCATCAAACATATTATTTATTATAATGTTATTATTATTATTAGGTATATAGCTTGTATATGTTATACACCGTACAAATATTGTAAAACGTTATTTTGTGACAACGCAGCTCCCACCTCTACAGAACACGGGCCACGTGGACAAACAACGACACGGTGTTTCAGCCGCGAGCGTTGGTGCTCGTTTTATCGCATTCTTGCCCTTCTGCCGTGGTGAAAGGCGGCAGGCTATAGCACACGTACGGGGCCGGCCCCCTCGTCATATTAACGATCGGGCCGCGCGACGTTGCCGGATTTCTTTAACTCACTGTCGTCGTCGGCATACACCGTATTAAAATGACGCCTGGCGTCGGATGTATACAGCCTGGTTTATCAAATAATTGCGTTTACCCTTCGGCCCGTTTTTTTTCTCAGCCCCACACTTTTCGATAAAATGATCAGAGTTTGCTGTAATACCAAACGAATTTGTTTGACTGCTCCAGTGCGCCTTGTATTTTTATCGTAACATGTACTACCGTTTTTGTGGCTGATTAACATAAAATCAGTTATTTTAATAATCATATTGTCATGACGGTGTGGTTAGTGATACCATTGATTATAATTTATTATAGATAGCTCATTGATTGGTTTTTCGGTTTTGCTTAAAATAATTACTCCCGGTAGATGGCGAGAAGATGAAACTACTAGCGATTACAACGGACCTGTCCATTACTAACCAGGCGCCCGTGGTTGCGTGATCACTTGGTTATCGACGCGCCAATCACATCATTCACAAAAAGTTTCTCATTTTAAGATGAACGAACAGTCAACAATTTTAAAATGCACATAACTCGCTTTAAAATTAAAATATAATAAAAAGCCTATGTCATTGTTTAGATAATAGTCTTACCTTTAAATTGAACAATAGCTCAATACGCTCTAATTTTTAAACTAACGGAGATAATTAATGTGTTTTGCTTAGCGTAAAAGTTGTTATGATACGCATTTGTCAGACTAAAGATAGAGACAACAAATGTCACTGTAACGTACCCTTAACGCGCATGGCAATGTGGTAATTGTTAAATATAGCCTCTAGTCTTGGTTATTTTATTTTTACATTCATTATGATATCATTCCGGGCTTGGTGGTCCACAGATATGTGTTTTTCTTGTTGAGATTAGGTTAGAAGGTTAGGTTAGGTTGTGCGCGCCATTAAGAATAACATGAAGTGCCAACTTGGGGCGTGTACTTCATTTGAAATTTTTAACTATTACAAAAACGTTATTCTATTATAATTTCATGGTTTTATTTTAATAAATGTACCAAATTAATCAATATGATTAAGTTAAAATACAGAGTCTCTAAAGTCTCTTTGTCTTTTTAGTATTTTGTTGGTCAACTCCATGATTTAAGATATTATACAGGATACTTAACGCCGTTTAGAAACTGGTCTCCAGTCCACTCGAGTGGTGCCACAGTTTATCCCCAAAAATCAGCTGTCCACCATAGGAAAAAGTACAGCTAGCACGTGTACATAATTATATATATTTATTTCGATATATATATCGAAATAATAAGAAGTGAGCCAATAAGTGCCGCTTTGCTGTACAGTATGTTACACATTGGGTCACTGTAATAGATTGTGTTACATTTGAATTAAATTATATAATATCATTGTATGCGAAAAAATGTTCTGAGCGAAGACTTTATATTGTGAATAAAGTACTTAGGGCCGTATTTATAATCAATTCCTAAGTCTATTCTTATCTTTTACTTTTAAAGGTAATGCTTAATCATAAGTATTCATAAACAGGCTTAAGTCATACTTTTAAAAGTTATAAGCAAAAGTAATTCTTATTCTTATTTTGATAACCAAATTCATGGTCACACATAAAGGCATAAATAAAAATAAAATAAATGACCTACACATGACCATATAATATGGAGATTTCTATTGAAAATTATTTCACTTACCTGAATCTGTTAAAAAATTCTTTATCGTCATAAAAATCAATTGGATTTTGCATGTCTCTAATATATCGTTTAGGAACACGTTCATTATTTTCTTCAGCACGGTTGTAAAAATTAACTAATTCTACAAAGTGTATTATATCCATATTTTCAATTTTTATAAAACTAATCAATGTGATATGATCAAAAACAAAAAAAAAATCATGAACGTACCTCGTATACAATATCATTATTATTAAAAGAATTTCTTAAGCATGGTCAAGACCAGTCTTTTTAAAATCTTCTGAATAAGTCGTACTTTTCATTTTCTTAAGCTCGAGTACTATTTATGAATCTCATTTAAGTCACAAGCATGACTTAAGCAATACTTATTCTTAAGAATCGACTATAAATACGGCCCTTAGTATTTACCTATTTACGTAGAATCTTGTTTTAAATTTTCAATCCTAAGCTATAAAAGTTGAACATTTTTAACTAGAAGAAAATCGAAGCCGTGTTACTGCCCCAAACAATGATGCAGACACACAAAAAAACACACATTATAAAATCAATTCATTCACGGCTCCTCTTTCAATCTAAAAATATATCTATTACGAAAATATACATTGTTTAACTACATTATCTGCTTGGGTGTTAGCTGCGCTTCTCGCAGACAAAATCAAGGATAAACACTGGGCATCAAAAATTATTCTTCATTGACCGTTGAGCAACCGCCAACCAGTATATCTTAAATCGTGGTTGCCGCTAATAAAAATGCTTGTAAATTAATGATAGTATTCAAGCTACATGTTTGTATTAAAACTTCATTCATACATATTATAACTTTCAATATTGAAAGATATTATATTTTTATAAACTAAACAGTATTAGTTGTTAAATAGGCAAAACCTGTTTTTAATAAAAGCTATTATTTAAAATATATACCTTTTTTTACAATTGAACATTGTATTTCTTATCTTATGCTGATACATGTTTTTTTTTCAGAACGAGAATGCACACGTATACAAAAAAGTATATCGATAATTTGTTTACCAATGCAGTTTTTAACAAATGTGAAGTTTCGGTGTTAAAATTAACTGCAGAAGACATAGCAAATTATAAATTGTAAGTTAATTTTTATATTTATACATAAGTAGGTCTAGTGATCACTATAATATAATACGAACACTGCATTTTAAGGACAAACCAAACAGAATTTTTTTAATTTAATGTATCCTTAGCGTATTCGATTTTTCTATTCCAAACCAAACTTTAAGAAACTAAAAACTTTTTTAAATATTAATTTTGATAAAACTATGACAAATAATAAAAAATATATATGAAGTCCGATTTTTAATTGCTTAAGTATTTTAATCTCTAAGGTTCCGGCCATAATGCCGTATTTTCGCCGCTGAGTCCGGATTTACCGTCGTGGTTTTTGCGTTTTACTATGATTTACCACTTTATTTAAATATCCTATTTGAGATATCCCATTGTAACCAGCTATCGTAATAATCTAAATAATTGAGCCAAGTTGCATTTCTCTATTGGGCCGATTTCACCAACACAGTTAATCACGGTTAAGGTTAACCGGAGTTTAATCGGCGAAGTTGACCGGTTATATACATGTTATCAGCCGATTAAGCGTAATCGGAGTTTAACGGTGATTAACTGTGTTGATGAAATCGGCCCTTAGTTCTGATAGTCTTCTTAATAATATATTTAGTATTATTATGACGATTGCTTATCTATATTATCTTAAATCGTAGAACGGGTAGACACTGCACACTACATTAAAACTTATCAATTAATCTAATAAGCATTTGGTTCAATTTTCGAACAATTCGTCACATCACTGATGGTTTATATTTGTATGTCATTTATACTTTAAATAAATAATTGTATTGAACTCTTTTAGAATCTATAATTAAATACAAATATTTTATTTTTGAATACATGGATATTTTGAATATTAATATGACATTTATCTCAAAACACTTATTTAAGTTTATAATTTTTTATTAATTTTAGGAGCTTAATTAAAAATAAGGATACACCCAAAGAAGATAATAATGCATTAAAACAAGATAAGACATGTAAAATCAATATAACATCTAAAGATGATAAAAAGTCAAAAGTTGTTAAAATATCTAAAAACAGTAAAACATTTAAAAACAGTAAAACATTTAAAAACAGTAAAACATCTATAGATGGCGAGCCTGCTAAAAAAAAGCAGAAGTTAGATACAAATGGAATAGATGTTTTGAAATTGGTATTATCTAGAGAGGGTGAAACTCATAAATTCAAATCGCAGTTCAAATCCGCATTGAAATCCAATAAGGAAATTGCTTCTACCAATGCTGAGGAGGTACCCATGGTAATTGATTGTGACAAAGTTACTGAATCTTCAAATTCCTCAACAAAAAATCTAAAACCACTGATCTGGGTCATTGATCCCAAGAATATGATGGATGAAAATAACTTCATTAGGTGGATGAAAATGATTAGTCCTGATAATAAATCTAAACGTTCAACAAATGGCCTGAAGAAGTTAGTTGCTAAACCCTGTGCAATCAGACCCAAACCACCTTCAATTAGTACCAATGTAAATGGAATTAAACACACTTTGAATGGCAAAAATCATGATGAAGGTGCTTTAATTCCAATTGAAAATGTATTTAAAAAGTATTTTAGCAAGGACGTACAAGATACTATTGTGATTATTGCAAATATTCTCAACATAATTTCAATGTCCAACAAATATCACAAACTACGAATGGATGAATGTTTTAAGAAAAAATCTGACACTGAAAAACTTAAAGAAAGATGTGATGCAAACCGAATGCACGGAATACATAAAACAATTTTAGAAACCAAGTTGAAGAACAATTTTATAAAGGTCGTATCACCTTTTAAAGAACCGGAATTTGATACAGCATTTAAAATGTTTTTTTTAAGTATATTAACTGTACTTCGAGTTTTGGAACATCCAAGAAACAGAAAAGGTAGCATCTTCAAAAATTTAGTGCTTTTATTATGGAATAGTTTGAAAAACAGTGACTATAACCATCCCAAAGTTTATAATATGTTTCGGTCAAAGACATTTCGACCTGAATGCGTCGATGTAATAAGTGTAATTGAAGATAGTCGAGATACTGACCCAGGAGTCACTGAACGTATGTCATTGTTTTTTATATCAACTGCAAACAGCCAGGAATATTTTCAAGCAGTTATGAATGCTGTCACCAGTGATTCGAACGAAGACCTTGCATTATTAATCGATGATGCTATTTATAAATGTCGTATTAATTCAAAGTTTAAAGATCCTGCAGGTTTATCAACTGTACAACATTCCAATTCCAAAATACAAGTAGCAAAAACTATTCAAAGCTCTTCAAAGTTTAAACTTCCCGTAGATACATCAACTATACAACATTCCAATTACAAAATACCGGTAACTATTCAGAGCTCTACCAACACTGAAACAATTCAACAATGGATCATAACCAAAAGTCCAAATGGAACTTTGCAGTAAGTTATTTTTTCTAATTTCTCTTATGGTCATTTTAATTTCCATAAAATTTTAGATTTAGACAAAATTTTAGAATATTTGTGAGTGTTTAGACCCCTTAAGAGATTTTGTATTTATACGGCTTTTGCTCTTATTCTTACTCTCCCCCAACTGGCCATTGACACCAATAGCATTTAACTATAGTATACAGCGGATCCTGGGTAACAATACAGGCTGCCCCACGAGGGACTAACCCATTAGTCTAGAGGGGGACTCGCCACCAAACGGACAAAAACAGGTTTTTTCCTTTATATCTGGAACAAAAAAATTATTAAAAATCATGAAATTAATGAAAATAAAATGTTGAAAAGTCAAAATTTTCATAAAAATCTATATATATAAAAATGAATGGATGTCTGTGTGTCCATATTACCATTTCAACCATTCATAAATTATTTTGAGATTTCCAATGGAATTTTTTTATATAAATGGTTGCCGTGGTAATATGTAATAAATATTATTCATATAGAGTTCGCATTTTTAATGGACAACGAAGTGCTCGGGATCAGCTATTTTAATATACATAGATAGATAGATTAGACTTCTGGGCCGAAGATTAGCTAATTTAAAAAGGGAGAGGACCAACTTCGGAAGGTGCTCAAACAGGGATCTTGAGATTTCCGATAGAAATGGCCGTCATTCGTTTTGAAGCTATTATAATAAAAATTATTGGTTGCCGGGCAACAAAGTGCACGGGATCATTTGGTACAGAGATAGATTAGACCTCTGGACATAAGATAGGCTAATTTAAAAAGTGAGAGGACCAACCTCGGGTGGTGCTCAAACCGGGATTTTGAAATTATGTTTAAAAATGTTTGCCATGGGTTGAAGCTATTATAATGATAATTAATGCCCGAAACTTGATGACCTAAAAATCTTTTAAAAAATGTTAAAATGATTTTATAAAAAAGAAATTTATCAAAAAATTACTACAGAAATACCAAAAATTACTTTATAAAGACTTAACATTTTTAAAAATTTATGTTTTACAATAATTATGTTTTACAATAATTACGTTTTATACACAATTCATGGGCCATAAATCGTATTTGTTATAGGTTCTACCTCTTAAAAAATGTTAACTCTCGAAGGAGCCTTCAAAAATATTTTTTTGAAGCTTAAAATAATTCGATCGACTTTTGGGAAATTTTTTCTAATTGACCGGGCCTAAAATAATTTTTAATATTTTTCAAATTTCATTATAAAAATATAGTAGGAGCCTTGTATTCAGTTTTCATGCTTTTTTACCCGACAAATAAAGTTTTATTTACATTCATAGAAAAAAGATTAATAAAATTGGAAACTGAAAATGTTTCTTTAACAGTTCAAAACAAATACTATCTTGAAAAGTTGATCGTGCATAGAAAAAGCGAATATAAACAACCAGTGAAAATTTCATGTACATAGTATATACGTTCATTTGTTTTAGAGTTACACCAAAAACCAAAATCGATTTTGTGGAAAACCGATTTTGCTTAAAAATTGCCAGTTTTCCTTAATTTGTAGGTATGTTGTGTTTCCCGGTGCTTTTGAAAACTATTGGGAATTTGAAAATTTTTTACCTGCCCAATGTACCCACAATATTCACTTTTCCATCGAACAAGATACTGAAGTGGAAAATCGAAGCATTATTTCGACTACTTATCGTGCACACAGACACACATAAAAAAAAAACATCATTGTAAAATCAATACATTCATCGTTTTCCACTTAGAATCTACAAAAATGAATAAATGCTCCAAAAATACCAAAAAATTATGGTAGAAAAAATAAATTCCCTAAAAATGCAAAGTAATAATAAAATTGTACCATGAAATTCTAAATTCCATGAATCAAATTTCTGTAAAGATGAGCCTCGTATGTAAGCATTAGAAAAATAGATGCAAATACATCAAGTTCCGGGCCCTAATAATAATTATTGGTTGCCGGGCAACGAAGTGCACGGGATCAGTTAATAAACTCTATAAAGTGGCTATCCTAAATTGTTTAAAAAATAATTAAATTAAAAAATTAAATATGTGTAGTCCTTGTCTCTGCGAGTCAAATATAAAAACAGATTTATTAAATTTTTATTATTTCAGGAGATTTAGCAATGAAAGGTAAATCCTCTTGGGACACTCTGTATACCTACACATTTTTACTAAGGGAATTTTGAATATATTTTTAGAATGTACAGTTAATCATAATATTAACTAATAATTAATATTTGTATTATAAATTATTGATTTTTATTATTTAATACAACCGTCGACAGTTGGTTAGTACATTTTTTTCTTAGAAGTGCTTGAGGATCGCCAATTGATTTTAATTTTACTTATAGATTATTGTACCTGCACGGCAAAAAATATGGTCCTTGTTTCCTTGAAATACTATTTCTAGCTATTTCTAGCATCAGTGCTTCCAAAAGTGAGATTAGTTTTTCTTCCTAACAACCTGCAGTCCCTAATTTTAAACCAGAAACCAGGTCCATAGTTTTGCTTGGCAAGGATTTATCTTGAATTCATGCTGCATGTGTTAAATATATTCAGTGCAGCCTAGTTAAAAACGTCTGATATTTTTAATTTTTTGCGAACTCATAATTTTTATAATACAATATAATATAATGTCAACAATTTACATAATAATTATGCAACATTTTTTTTTATAATAATTTCAAGTCCAAATGTTTACAATATTCATGAAAATTTTTCAAATTATTTTATAATTAAAACATTATAAAATATTTAATTTTAGAAGGTATTATGAATAAAAAATTTAATACAATGCTTCTCATAAGTAGTTCATACTGTAACCAAAATATCTAAAATAATGTATAAACACGTGATTTTCTTTTTGTAGAGATATTTAAGATCAAATTTTTCACGAAACTAGATATTTAAACAAATAATAACGATTTTAGTTCTTTTGTTGTAATTTAAAAATATTATTCATGAGTGCTAGAAACTTTTAAAGTAATACAAGTATATTGTTATGTTTTATACATACAGTGAAATTTTCAAATGCAATGTTTTCGGAAAATTTATTTCAACCTACTATATTACTTACTTTAATAGCAATAATATCATAAAATATACTTAGTATCCTGACAGACCATCCTCTCCCAGAATTGATTTTTGTATACAATGATTTTAGAACCATTACAGTCACCCACTCGAGAACTATTGTAGAGTGGTACACATTACCGACCTTTTTATAGTTAATGCTTGACAATTTAATACAAGCTTGTCATAAGTACTTCATATAGGAACGATGAAATCTGATAAAAAAATAAATACATTTTTTAAAATTAATATTTCAAGTTCAAATTTGGACGAAATTAGATATTATAACAAAGAGAAACGATTTTAGTTATTTTGTTGTTAATCCAAAATACTTTTCATAGGTATTTTTAACGTTTATGGATATTATTATATTTTGTATACCTAGGCAATGTAATTTTAAAAGCATTTAGATTAATCTTATTGCCTATTTATAACGTGAAGACACCGTTTTTGATTCACACTGTTCTACTGTAAGTCGGTATTGACTCAAAAGTTAATAAGAATAATATAATATAATATAAATGTATTCTATTATATTATAATAAAAGCAATGTTTTCGTCAAAAATTAATTCAACTTTCTAACTATAAAACATACTTTGTAATAAGACTGATAAGACCGTCTATCAGACCTAGTCGATATAGTTACTATTGCCTATCTTATTTATTTCTGATAATACAACAAAAAAATAGATATACAATCTTCCCAAATTCATAATTGTAGTTAAAATATCAACCATAGTTTCTAAGTTATATTATTTGTATAAACTTTTAGTACCTTACTTTAATTACATCTGGAATTGTAAGATTAATTTTGATGTTAAAATGAAAACATTTTAATGTTAAAATACTTATTATAATTATTAATTAAATCTCAGGTTTTTAAATTTAACAACTTTTAATATCTTAATGAATTGAAACTAAAAATTCATATTACTTCTTACTAGTATAATTATTCCTTATTCTTCGGTTGTACATATTAATTATTGTATTTAATTATAATTATAGTATTAATTAGTTCTGTTATATTTTAGACAAATGCCTGTGCTGAATGGTAGTAAGTCCCAAACAATTGGTAATAATGGAATAGAACCGTCAATTGTCACGAGCCAACCAATAAATAATTTCCATACAACTTCTTCTATACACTCTTCACTACAAAAGAAAGCTTCTGAATTGACTACTTCTAAAGTGATACCAACAAAAAACTGTATTGTTGTTACGCCAACTATTTCCAATAGTCCTTTGGTGCAAGTAACAGCGTCGTCAACATCCACAGCAACATCCACAGCAACAACATCAAAATTTTTGACATTCAAACCATCAATTCAAAATCAATCTGAAGGCAGCACTATTGTACTTGGTAATAAATATTATCAATTGGTTAAAGGGCCAACAGGTATAATGAGAGCCGCCGCAGTCAATGGTACTAATAGATTGCTGATAACACCGCAAACAAGTACAGTGAGAGCCGCCCCAGTTAATGGTACTAATAGATTGCTGATATCACCGCAAACAAGTACAATGAGAGCCGCCACAGTCAATGGTACTAATAGATTGCTGATATCACCACCAACAAGTACAATGAGAGCCGTCCCAGTTAATGGTACTAATAGATTGCTGATATCACCGCCAACAAGTACAATGGGAGCCGTCCCAGTTAATGGTACTAATAGATTGCTGATATCACCGCAAACAAGTACAATGGGAGCCGCCCCAGTTAATGGTACTAATAGATTGCTGATATCACCGCAAACAAGTACAATGGGAGCCGCCCCAGTTAATGGTACTAATAGATTGCTGATATCACCGCAAACAAGTACAATGGGAGCTGCCCCAGTTAATGGTACTAATAGATTGCTGATATCTCCACCAACAAGTACAATGAGAGCCGCCACAGTCAATGGTACTAATAGATTGCTGATATCACCGCCAACCACTGGTGTCAAAGTATGTATAATTATTCATCAATATATAATTGTTTACAAACGCTTTACAGTACTTATTTTTATAACATAATATAGGATTGTGAATAGACGATTTTTAAACATCTGTGATATAACACTGTTAAAGTACTTCACTAATTTATTGTTTTATTTCATGTTGGTGGTTTTGAAAAATTCATGTTATAAGTACTAGTAACATGCTTGCAATTGCATTCATATTTTATTTTATCAATATTTATAGTAGCAAATAACAAATAGTGGTGGTCATAAATAACTAAAAACCAATTACTGTTAATATATATGGTTAAATGGTAAACTTACTAACCAAATTATTTAAACTTGGGCTACCAACTATCTAATGATTCGGTTGACTATTTTTTCTAAAAAATAATCTGAAATATGAAAATAAGCTATTATATTTTCAATATAACTAACTTCTTTTTTTCTGTAAATGAGAATTGCCCTTTTTCCTGTAAATTATTTAGCTAAAGCCTTTTTTGGAAATTATGAAGTATCCAAATCAAAATAATGAAGAGTTATTGAGTTATTTAATTTTGTGCACTAAGTGTATAGTAGGTCCATGATATTGGTTTGGAAGATTTGGGGCTATAATTATATAAAAAGTAGGTATGTAATTTACTATCATTTGATTATTTGTTAACGGTATAATATGTATAATCAGTTTTAGATTATACCATAGAGTAATAATATTTATATAATATTATACATTACATACATTTTATACTTTTAAACCATATTTGTGGAATATTATTCTTAATCAGTGGCAAACAGACAATTTTTCAGACCTGAGGCAAACTAAACAATTTGACCACCCACCCTACCACCATCAGGTTTTTTTGTACTCAATTGATACTTTATCAAACTGTATACATTTATATGATATTTAAATGTACGATCAAACTAGTGCCCACTTGCACACCTAGTAAGGGCAATTGCCTCAAAAATAGCTGTTCAGCCCACCACTGTAAACTTAATATATACTTTTTAATTATTCAAAAACTACTAGTTTGAATATTAACTGAGAGGCATATAAGTTTATAAAAATCATAGGCATTTTACTATTCTAAAAGATTTTTGTTGTTATTTTTGTTTTTAGTGCTACGCCAGAGATTGTAAGAACTCTTCAAAAATAATGTGCAGTAGCTGCAAAATGGTGAAATACTGTTCCCATAACTGTCAAGTAATAATATATTTTGAATATATTTGTTAAATAACTATACTGTTGTTATATAATATAGTTAATGTCTTTTTTCTTCTTTCAGCGACTTGACTGGTATGCCACTCATATAAATGACTGTGAGCGAATGCTAAGCAGAAATCAGACTTGACTCTAAACATTCCATTACATATGTACATATAATTTTAATGTTGTATATTTATATTAAAAAGTTTTTCATGAATTTATTTTTATTTAAAAAAAATTGGATTACCTATGCTTTTATATATATTGATATTTCTTAAGTTTGTATAATTAATATTACGGTTGATTACTATTATAGTATTATGTTTAATCTAATATTAATTAATAGTTTTTAGGGTTTTTATGTTGTTTTTTTTTAACTTCAACAGTTATTATTTGTTTTTACCAGAGAGAGGAAACACCAAAATAAATAACAAATTTTTGGTATTTATAATTTATAAAATTGTTTCTTGATAATATACCCTCTATATTTGTTAATAAATAAAAAACTCATTCTGTGGAGAGGGAGTAGAATATGCTAGAATAAACCATTACAGTTTGCCTGAAACATGGATTTTCTTAGAGGATCATCCCCTAGGTACTTAGTTCTTACCATAGGTTTGTGGTATCTCTCTTACTAACAATATTTAAAATTCAATTCTAAATAGTAGATTTGGAATATCAATGTATTGAGTATGATATGATTGATGATTGAATTAATTATTGCTTTCAAAAATAAAGCATGGCAATTAAAACTATAATAATAGGATTTGATATAAGTCATTTCGGAACTAATAAATAAAGCGATTGTTTGAAACTATAGATTGTGTATAAATAATCCTGTTAAGATTCTCACTGCTTTAAATAATGTTTTCTAAAGAAGGATACTAAAATAGATATTTCTCCTCAAAGCTGAAACCTGTAATATTAAATTATTTACTTTTGAATACAACTTGGTTGTAGGTTGGATTTTTCTTAAATTGATTTTTTAGGAGTAGCTGAATTTACTCCCATTTAAATTTGAGATGTACCTCAATTCTTAAAATAGAAGTTATCCAACATCTTTTGTGCTAATTATTTCATTTAAACGCTGTGGAATAAATATAGACAGTAAAGAAAAACTTTCCTTACTATCTTAGGAAAAACCTATCTGTTGTATTAATTATCAGTTATCTCCTCTAGTCCTCTACAACCATAGACCTTATACTCATGATAAAGAAAAAAGGTATGTCAGCAACTTTGTGATACGCATATCCGCCATATTGCTTTTCTTCATAATGTTTAAAACAAGGACACTGATAATAAAATTCACGGAGAAAAGCAATAAGGCTGGCAGGTGCATAGGAAAAAGTGGGGATGCTCAAACAAGATTCAAATTCGGAAAGTTGCTGACATATCCCTTTTTTTTATCATGCTTATACTCATATACAGAGCATTACAGGTTGGCAGGGCTGGGTGGAGCGGTCACTGCCCTCGTCATAGCAGTGTTGTCATTTCTGACAACATAAAATTTGTTTATTCACATATTTATACAATATATTATTAAAATATAAAATTAAAAATGAATATTTTTAAAAAATGCATAGTTACCATAATAATAATAAATAATAAATCATATATTAAATAAATGAATATATTATTCATTCAGAAACAATATCATTTTTGTGTTTTATCATACAATAATTGTTTAAACTCAATAACCGATCGCCTAACCTGAAATTCTATTGCGCATGTGCGTAGTAATTGAATAATAGTCGAACTCACATGGGCCCGTTGGAACTAAACCCGTGCTCCGTCTATGAGTATAAGGTCGATGTCTACAACTGATATAAAATAATCTATAACCTCAAACTCAAACCTTTGACCACTGTGATGCTATAGCATTATTTATAACTGTTTTGAAATTAAATAAACTGGCTCGGTTGCTTCAGCATCCCTTGCCCTTTAATATATTAGCCCCTAACGGTATAAATGTGCCTTAATTACTCTACCTAAAATGAATGTGAATTTTAAAGACCAAAGTTACAATTCCCTGATAACGTTGTAGGTAGATCTATTGTCAATAAAATAATTATAACAATCATAAAGAATACATTTAAAGCAGTCATAAAGGAAATAGGTTAGTCAGTTTGAGCAGCTTCGTTAATACATTATTACTTTATTAATTTGTTATTTAATTATTTATTAGAATTAACGCCAAACGGATTTTGGGAAAATTTAAACAAAGTAATGGAAATTTAAAGTTTGTGATGTACAAAGGTAAGAAATGACAAGATAAACTATTGTTTTCACATATAAAAACTAATTTTACCGCGAATTACCAATAATTAATAATATAGTGTGGTATTGAGGCTGGCCGGGGTACGAAAAAAGTACATATTGCTATTAGCCGGTGACATCATCCTGATTAGGAGATAATTCTTATCATTATAGCATTGTAGTAAAATAAACCCTTCAACCTGGTGCTGCCATTGACACGAATATCGAGTCGTTCTAACAGACGAAGTGCATCAATATTTTCTTCAATAAGCCAATTAATAAAACAACAACTGGACGTTCAGTTCACGATTCAAGACCAAGAATATTGCTGATATGACTATAGCCGTGGGGCGGGTTGGGAAAATTCATGTGGTAACTGGCAAAACACAGAAAACGATTCTGAACTTTGTCAAGATGCCGTATGTCCCTATTAAGGTATAAGGGAACAAAATAATGGCCCCGTATTCTAATAACGACCTTACTAGATATCTATATAGTAAACAAAAACATTTGGGAGACTCGAAGTTCGATGAATGACGCCTTATAAAATCTAGTATTCGGAGTGCTTTTCAAACAATAAAATCAATATGAGGTCGAAAATCAAGTAAGGGAACATAGATGAATTCCAAATCCTTAACTTCAATAACGCGTACGAGGGGGAAAGAATCAAACTTAATAAATTCCCTGGTTCGATGAAATGTCATTACTTTACATTTTTGAGTATTAATGGTTAGCCCCATCAAATTACACCATCTAGCAAATTTAGCTAAAGCGTTCTGGAAAAATAATAAGTCATCAAGAGACGAAATAACATAGAACATTTTGGCATCATCAGCAAACAGTAAAATACGACATCGAGTAATTTGTGAGCATACGGAGTTGATGAAAATATTGAAAAGAAAGTGACCTAAGTGGCTACCTTATGGAACACCAGAAGGGACTTATACAATTTGAAAGACTTACCGAAGAGATAAACGAACTGCTTACGATCGCTCAAGTAAGACTTTAATCAAGGCGAGAGTGGATCGCCCACTACGAGTTGGTCTAGAAAGAAAATCAAGGTACCGTGGTCGAGTGTGTCAATATTTTTGAGAAGTTAGTGCAAATGACGTCAACTTGGTACTTAGAATTAAATGAATTATGTAGGTAAGAACTAGGATAAAATTAAGGATCACTGAAGTCGACTGCACTGGTTACGGTTGAGAGACCAGGGAAAAAGCCATTTGTGTCCGGAGAAAGTGTCGACAAAAGTGACCTTTCAAGTCCAATTGATTCGAATATCTTACCTAAAAATGGGAGGACAGATATAGGTTTGTAGTTGGTAATATCTGCCAGATTTCCTGATTTTAAAATCGGAGTAGCTCGGCTGCATTTCCATATAGAGGAAAATATCTCTTCAGCAAGTGATCTATTAGAAATTTTAGTTATCGGTGAACTGAGTGCGTCCTGGCAGTCATGTAAAATAGTGGCAGCAATTCAATCAGGACCTCAACTACGGGTATTTGATAAAGATTTAAGAGATGTAAAGACCTCATAAATTGAAATGGAGATATGAAAAGGAAGAAAAGAGAATTGACCGGAAGTATTAGGAAGTAGATAGGTTTCAGATTTAACACGTGTGTCAACAAATATGAAGGAAAAGTAAGAGGCAAACAAATTTGCAACTTGGTCATCGGGAGCTTTGATTTCACCAAGATTGCCTTCATTGGGAATGGTGCTACCCACTTGGAGATTACATACAAATTTCCAAAGAGATTGTGGTCTCTTGCGTAACTAGTCTTGCAAAGATACCATGTAGTTGTACAAGCGTTTTGATTAAAATTTGCAGCACGCACGTAACAGTGAAAAATCAGATTAATATTTGGCGCCACATAAAGTTTTATATTTTTGATGTGCTTGTTTTTTCATTGTAAGAAGGTCTTTTATGTGAAAAACCGGGGGGGGGCGAATGAATATGCGTAAAGGCACAAATCCGGTGATAATTTCTAAAAGTTTGTTCTGCAGTAGTACTGCTGATTTATCAGCTGATGGAGATGCCAATTTTCTAACCCAAATTGTTGATCTTAGATCAGCAAGAATACTAGGGTAATCAGGTCTACCGAAATCGTGAAACGAATGTCGGGTATCAAGTATAGGTGAAAAAGGAGGAAATGCGCAATAGGCGGATAGCGCTGGATTATATGAGTCGCAAACGATAAGAGTTTCTAAAGACTGTTCTACTTTGGCAGAAATATCACTGGAAAAAACTAAGTCAAGGAAATAGCCATTTTTGTTAGGAATGTTGTTCATTTTGTGAAAATTAATTAGGCTGTATTGGTCGCCCACCGTTCGAACTTCAGTAACTCTGTACACGAGACCAGAATTTTTGTTGACCCATCTAAACGAGTAAATTATAGTCATCGAAAACTATGTCAAAATTTAAATTAGAAGATTGCCAAATTTGATCTATAGACATTGTATGACTCTAATAAATAAAATTATTAGAACTCTGAGGAAGGTAAACACATGCTAGGAGACCAATGGAGCCACCCGGAATAGAGACAGACACAAATAATTATTGTTAAATGTCAACATTAGGTGACATAATAGGGTTAGGACACAACACATTCTTCAGAGGCATTAATACACCTCCCACCCCATCGACTATCACAGGTATATGGATTTCTATCATACCTAAAAATGTTATAGCCATCGAGACCTAACTCGGCATGTGTTAAATCCTCGGTAAGCTAAGTTTCAGTTAAAATAAAGACGTCATATGATAATAAAACAATATTTGTATGGAATATGTAATTTCGTACGAAGGTCGCGTACATTTTGATTAAATCACTGTTTGAAATGAAAGTATCTGGATTAGAACTTACATTAATACGATTGGGGGCATATTTAGATTTAAAATCAATAAAGTCAAAGAAAAAAACATTGATAATAATTAATAATTCATTATAATGTATACCTTTATAATATATTATATTGTAAAAGCAAATAGGTACATTCACTTCATTCAGAAATCGAAAAAAACAAGTACAATTCATTAATTGTAATTTTAAACAGAACAATGTATTATACAGATATTATATTACCTATCTATTTAATTCGATAAACATTGTTCGATAATTTCTGCATTTTTTATAATGCTTGACGCCCTAACTTGGGTACATCTTAAAATATGTTTATCAATCAATAGTTCAATAGTGACATAGACAGCGGGTAGGCTGTTAAATAGTACCTTATATGATTGAAATTGATTTTCTAAATACATAGCGGCATAGCGCTTACATACCTATTCATATTTACTAATTATTTGGACAGTAAAATGCAGAAACTTTGGATCCTCAAAGTACCTACCAACTTGATCCAATATATTCTACCAGCAACCACCCTCAAAGTTCAAGATTGAAGCATTTTTCCTATTCAAAAATAACACACATCATTATTATAAGACCAATACATATATTTATTATATATATATATATATGTTTAAGTTTATTTTTGGAGTTCTTAAGGCATTTTTGCAATATTTCTAGAGAACTTTTTGTGTTATTTAGGTCATGTACATCCTATCTCTATAGTTATATTACGTTTATATATAATATATATATTTGCCAAAATATATTTTTTTGTTTTACTGTTATACTAATATAGTATTAAAATATACCACGTCATTATTTTATAATATTTTTTATTGATTACTCATTATTTCAAAAATGTATAAATGTTTTTGCAAAGATTTTTTCTACATAGTTTCTAGTCGTTAGGAACGATATTTTTAATCCTTAACGTTTTGTAAGTTTTTTACATTTTTTAATGACAGCACAGGTACAGTTTTAATTTAGTTTCATATTCAAAAGCAGAATATATTTTTAAGTATTCTTATATCTATAAAAATCGAATTAAGGGTGAGTAGTTTATGAGTTCTGCTATTTAAAGATATGATGAGTGGAGTGGTACTTGGTTAACTCAAAAAACAGATTCGATTTTATTCATCGAAATACTTTGAAAAATATTCTGCTTTCGAAGGATATTAAAACTGTGTATTATAATTCAAAAAAGTACAATAATTTATAAGGATAAAAAATATTTAAAAATATACTTTTTTAATAAAAACTTTGTTTTCAAAAAATGTACAAGAAATATTTTCAAAAACATTTTGAATATTTTGAATAATGAGTGTTTTACACTCCTACTTTAAGGGGACGTTACAGTGTTATTTGTTGTCTTCGTCTTACAAGAGCGTAACATACCAAATTTTACACTCAACAGAACACATTTATCTCTGTAAGTTTAAAAATTAGAGCGACTTGAGCATTTATAAAATTTAAAGGTAATACTATTATCTAGACAAAGACTTAGGCTTTTTATTATATTTTAATTTTAAAGCGAGTTATGTGTAGTTTAAAATTTTAAACTGTTTGCGCATCTTAAAATACTCATAACTCGCTTCAAAATTAAAATATAATAAAAAGCCTTTGTCATTTTCTGGATAATATTCTTACCTTTAAATTGTATAAGAAGTCAATTCGCTCTAATTTTTGAACTAACGGAGATAAACGTGTTCTGCTAAGCGTAAAATTTGCTATGTTACCCACTTGTGAGACGGAGACAACAAATACCACTGTAGGGTCCGCTTAAATAAATCACCCAGTATAGTTATTGTTGAAAGTGAAGCTTGACGGACTAATGATGTTAGCATTAATATAATAAGTAATAACACGACAATATGATTCAATATGATTATGTATAAGTATAATATATAATAACGACAACTGGACAATTAAACTGTGACAGTACACACCCACTGTGCAAAAATCAGTTCAGGAGAAGTCATATAGAACGCATTTTGTGATGTGCGATGTTAATAATCTAGACACTGAGAAGTTTATGGGATTTCTCTAGGTATGCTAACGCCCGGTTGATTAACTTTTATTTCTTACTTCTCTTAGATTTCAAGTTTAGAAGTCTCTGAGAGGTTTGTTTGTGACATCTTTGAGATATTATATTGTAGCAGCTCATTAACATCATTTTTTAACTTCTAAGGGACATACATTATTTAACTCCTAAATAACCTTACAAATGTGCTGTTACCGAGACATTACAAAGTAATTTTATGATTCAATATATTATATATATTTAAAATAATACCTATATATAACACATTTTTATTTATTTGTATGGCATGTAGGTATAGTGATGATTAACTGCAGTTATACTAATATCCAATAAGAGATAATAAATAAACACTGTTGTTAGTATAAAATAATAATAACTTTATTATTTTATTAATATAATAATTATGATTGTAAAAAACATATTATTCTAACAAATAATGTTTGAAAAAAATAAAAATTATAATATAACAATTCATAATTAAGTAAAAAAAAAAAACATTTTTAATATAATGAAAAAATATTTTAGCAGCTACCTATACAAAATTAGGGAAATTTAATAATCATAAGATGTAATATATGTAAATACTATTGTAATAATAAATAAGAAATGTAAAGTACAAAATAATTAAAAATAATAATAATATAACAATTCATAATAAAGTTTAAAAAAAAACATTTTTAATATAATAAAAAAAATATTTAAGAAGCTACCTATACAAAATTAGGTAATCTAATAACCATAAGTAAAATATGTAAATATTATAGGTAGTAATAATAAATAAGAATTGTAAAATACATAATAATTAAAAATAATAATATAACAATTCATAATTAAGTTTAAAAAAAACATTTTTAATATAATAAAAAAAATATTTAGGCAGCTACCTATACAAAATTAGGTAATTTAATAATCATAAGACATTATATATGTAAATATTATAGTAATAATAAATAAGAATTGTAAAATACATAATAATGAAAATAAAAAATAAAAAAAAATAGTATACCTGCTTTATTTTAATCTGTAACAAAATATAAAGAATTATGATAAAGATTGATAGATACTTATTTAAAAACAAATTAGGATGTGATATTATGGCTTAAAGTAAAAACAATAGCATTATCAGACATTTCAATACAAAAACATTTATATTTTATTTTATCTAAGGAAATTTCAATAGGATTTGACAGAGAACTCAAATCAATGATAACAGAACCTAAGATATCCGAAGTAATTGGAATAGATTTAAAATAAGCTGAACTTTTATAAGTGCAAACGCTTAAAAATACTTTGTCATCTTTATGTTTATAAATTATTTGTTTTATAGAAGCAATTTGATTATTTAATAACATAACATAGTTATTTTTAGGTGCATTCGTACATAATTTATAGTTAGTATTTAAAATGGTAATTGATTCATAACATGTGATGCCAGTATTACCTATTGAAAAATCAAGATTATTTTCAATTTCTTTGCCTAATATGTAACTGATCTGTGAAGAAGTTTTGTTATTTATATCATACTTGATATTCATATTTTCAATAATCCTATTTGCAGCTTCTTGTAATGGATAACGAGAATGTTTAATACTTTTTTTTAACTGGCCGAGATAATTTTCAAATTTGAACGCGCTGAAATTGTCAAGACAACCATGGATTTGTACATAATATGATAAATGAATTAAGCTATGCACATTATATGTCATAAACTGCTGCCCGTAGTAATCTGCATATTCATTAACAAACTCTATAATCAATTGCTGAGCTACATTATTATATTCTATACAAATGTTGGGAGTAACTAAAATTTTTATGGCGGAATGGAGTTTCATAAAATGTAGGTATACATTTTTTTTTATCCTTCCTTTCAATATAATTGGTCCAGTATATAATAAAAACATTCTGAATTCAGTAGCCTTCCAGAAAAGTATATCATTTAAAGATCTAGGCAGTCTAGAAAATTCAGAAGGAAAATATTCTCTTAATTTAATTAATTCTGTGTTGCAAAGCTCTAAGTTTGTTTTAAGCATTCTAACTTGCTGTGATCCTAGCACCCAAAACTTTAAAAGCCTTTTCATAACACCTAAACAGACCACATGCATATAATCTAAGCATACTGTCTGAATAATATTGATTGGCAAACGTTCAAGAGGACTAACGCCTTTATGATATTCATCATCAGATTTTATTCTAAAACTGGTATCAGTTCTTAAAGGAGCATGAACACCTGTAAAAGCCATTCTATTTTCTAAATAGCTACCTTCTTCACAACATGTATTGCATCCAAAACGAGAGTTGTGACCTTTCACATTCAATAAAAAGGCCTTCGCGGGCGCGTCACATATGATTTGATTTATTTTTATTTTATAAACTTTATTATTAGATACAGTTATTCCTGAATTTAATATATTTAATAATTCGGTGATGAAAGGGTTCATAAATTCTTCAATAGAAGATGGTTTACAATGTGTATCATAGTATATACCAACAGGGAAGACAGCATCTGATAT